CAATTACCCTCACCAGAGTGATGATTCCTCCACTTCTTTGTTTGTTCTTGGTGCAATAAGCCTGAATTTCCTGAGCAATAGCCATAGACTAAAATTTAATGGAGCTCTTGTGTCTCTCATGGAAATGTTTTCTCTTCTTATTTAAACCAGGACTTCTAAATGCATAGTGCCCAGAGTTTCAGGGATGGGATGCTCTAATTCCCCAACTGTACCTTGGATCCTGGACCCATGCTTACTACCTAGTGGAGACACAGCACCAAATAATATATTGCATACATAGCAAAATATCATCACCAAGCTGTTGCTTCAACTGCACCTGTAGTAAGCCACTCCACCGGTCTATCAGACCTGCATATTCTGGCTGGTACAGTATGTGATAGGACCAGTAGGTCCAACTGTCATGTGCCAACTTCCACACCTCTTTTTCTTTAATGTGGGTCCACAATATGACGTGATGTTTTGTGGCATGGCATGGCTGTATATTAATTAGTCTGTAATCCTTAGGAAATGGTTGATCCAGAACCTAAAGGTTTGTGTTGTGATTATCCAATTGGTGGTGTTTGCCCTAAACTTCACATCTTTTCTCTCCTCACTACTAATTTTTCTAATATCACAAGGTATGCTACATAGAATGGTGCATGTAGAAAGACTATATGCACAAAGTCTGGAACTACAAAAAATTTTTTTCAGATCTGCATCCCACTGAAAGCTGAGAGGCTTTCATGTCTTTCAGTACATGGGTTAGAGTGGTGTGTAATATGTTTCCTTCAGAAACAAAAGAAATATATGAGGCACTGTGCTTCCTTATTAGTGATAGGAGGTGCAAGATGAGATAATTTTTCCTTTACTTTGAAGAGGATGTCCTGGCATACCCCAGAACATTGAACTTGTAAAAATTTTTCCAAGTTTATTGGAGAATAATTGACAAATACAGTCATACATTCTTGAAATATAAAACATGATGAATTGATATCATGGAATGATTACCAAGATCAAGAAAATTAACACATCCACCACCTCACATAATTAATTGTGTGTGTGTGAGTTGTGTGTGATGAGACTGATTAAGATTTAACCTCAGCATCTTTCAAGTATACAATGTCATATTATTAACCATAGTCACCACACTGTACATTAAATCCTCTTAATTTATTCTTATTATAACTGAAAGTTTGTACCTTTTGTCCTACATTTTATCATTTTTCCCTTCCCCCAGCCCCTGGCAACCACGATTCTATTCTCTGATTCTATAAAATTGGCTTTTTTTCCTAGATTCCACATATAAGTGATACCATTCAGTATTTATCTTTCTCGATCTGGCTTATTTCACTTACCATAATGCACTCCAGGCTCATCCATGTCGTCGCAAATGTCAGGATTCCCTTTTGTGGCTGAATAATATTCCACTGTGTGTATATATACACATTATTTTCTTTATCCATTCACCTGTTGAAGGACATTTGCATTGTTTTCACATCTTAGCTGCTGTGAATAATGCTGCAATGAAGATGGGGGTGTGTAGATAACCCTTCACTGATTTCATTTGCTTCAGATATATACCCAGAAGTGGGATGGTTGGATCATATGGTAGTTCTAGTTTTAAGATTTTAATGAACCTCCATACTGTTTTCCATAGTGGCTGTACCAGTTTACATTCCCACCAACAGTGCACAAGGGTTCTTTTTTCTCTGTGTCCTTACTGGCATTTGCTATCTGTTGTCTTTTTGATAACAGCCATTCAAACATGTGGGAGGTGATATCTCATTGTGGTTTTGATTGCATTTCCAAGATGATTAGTGATGTTGAGCACCTTTTCATACACGTATTGCCATTTGTATGTCTTCTTTGGAAAAATGTCTATTCAGGTCCTTTGCCCACTTTTTAATTGGATTAATTATTTTTTTTGCAATTGAGTTGTACGAGATCCTTAAGTATTTTGGATATAGTCCTTATCATATATATAGTTTGCAAAAAAAACCCTCCCATTCTGTAAATTGTATTTTCAATTTATTTACAGTTTCCTTTCCTATGGAGAAGCTCTTTAGTTTGACGTAGTCCCACTTATTTTAGCTTTTGTTGCTTGTGCTTTTGGTGTCTTATCCAAGAAATCATTGCCAAGACCAACGTCAAGGAGTTTTTCTCTGTTTTCTTCTAGGAGTGTTATGTCTAGTGTTTAAGTCTTTGATCTATTTCATGAACTCCTAAAATTTTAATGATGTGACAGTTTCCTCATTCTTTGTAGAATTTATTCCCTCCCTTGAGAGCACGTGTGTTACCAAAGCATCCAGTATACTTACTATTACTTCTTCATCTGGTTTGATAGTATGATGTCATTAACATAATAGACAATTATGACGATCTGTAAGATATCCAGATGGTCCAGATATCTTCAGATTATATTACGACAAAGAGTAAAACTGTAAATGTATGCTATTGTTGGTCCCACATAAACGCTGTTTCTGTTTCTCCTTTCTGAAAGAAATGGTAAAGAATATTTACAAGATCAATGATAACTTATCATATACCCAATGCTATGTTAATTTGCTCTGGCAAAGATACCACCTTTGGTACAGCAGCCTCAATGAATGCTAATACTGGGGTGAGTTTACAATAGCCCATTGTCATCCTCCAGGATCTCTCTGGGTTTTGTAGGGGCTACAGTGTGAATTAAATGGAGGTATGACGCGGATCACATTTCCAGTATCTTTTGTGTAACTACCCCTACAGAATGTAATACACTTTTTGAAATAATGTCTTGGCCTGGGGTTGGGACTCTTTCAGTACCTTCCCCTCTAAAACAGCTGTAACCCACAGAGCTAGGAAATAGTGTGGGAGTTGTACCGATTACCAAGTATATCCATTCAAATTATGCATTCAGGAAATGGTGTAATGGTGACTGGGGTTTGTCATCCAGTGAACCTGCTGTGCACCAGCCCTAGACCAAGACTTCATGCATACCTAACTCCCAGAATCCTCCATTCAAACAGAATGACCACAAGGACCCTTGAGAAATCTATGTGTATATATCAACTCAGACACTTTGTCAACAATCCTCAAAATGTTGTGACATTCCTTTTTTTCCTGGTATATGATTACGGAAATAAATGTTCACAAGCACCTTTGGAGAAAGTACTGGGAGAATCATTGCCATGTATCCTTACTGAGCTGTTACACAGTCCTTCCTCCTGGCATAGGTTATGCATAATAGATCCATTCAAATATCTTCTTAAGCTTTTAGACTCCTTCTTCTACAGTATATCAGGGGAATTCTGGCATTTCAACTTCCTTAATAGTATTGAGTGCCTAAAACAAACACTTGATTGGTTTTACACATACAATAAATATTTTAAAATTCATTAACGCCATAAATACTTGGTTTTGAGGGTGATGGGCTACAAGAGGAAGGCTCACAAATAGGGATTGTTTTCAAGTAAAGGAGTTATTCTGATATCTTTTATCACAAGAGATGCATTATAGTGCAGAAGTTAGGATAACAAATCCAAACTACAAGAATTTGTGTCCAGGTTTATTAATAGACCTTTAGGGTACTTAACATCTTGGTGCCTCAGACCCCTCCTATGTAAAATAGGGATAATGAGAGTATCTGCTTCATAAAGTTCAAGGTAAACCACTCAGAACCATACCTAGACTGTAAAAAGCACTATATGAATCTCTTGAATTGTCACCTCCCCTAGGACACAAATGAAAGACAATCATAACTCCATTGCTTCATGAAGGAAACTTCAATTAATAGGTTCTTTTCTGTTCCTTAGTAACCAAGTTAAATAACAGGCTGCACAATTTCTGGAAAAAGAGAACTTTCAAACATTTTATAAATATTTCATTTTCTATTTGCTGAAATATTTTAAATGTTTATTTCTAGGAGAGGCACAATGATCTTATTGTGAGTTATTGAAGCAGAGTACACAATTCACCAATCACATTTGTTTCATACAAAAGAGAAAAAATAATTAGTTATAAGTATTTTGGGGGGTTTCAGCCCTACAAAACTGAATTTAATCAAAGACCTCCCTGAAATACACTGTAGAAAAATAATATTGTTTAATAATGAATTTTGCACATTTTTTTTCATGATTAAAGCAATGTTTTAAAATTTGACTTTGATAGGTCCTGAACAAGGAACTGTATGATAGTGGTAGAAACTAGGAAAATATTTAAGAGTGACAAAGAATTGTTAAATGCTAATTACAATTTACTAGAAAGAAGAAATATAAATGAGAGGTGCAAAGCTGTCTCCTCAAATAGATCGACAAGAAAAATCTGGAATATGAGCAGAAATTCAAACACAAAGTTGATTTGAAAGTGAAAGGGCTCTGACCTGGCATGTTTTCTAGAGCCTGTGATCTCTTGTGATTTCTGGCTGTGTTCCCTCAGGCAAACTACAATCAACCCTCACCTCCCAGGTTTTAGGATGTGCAACTGAGGTGTTTAGAGCAAATGGCGCTGGTAATCCATCCTAGCTTTAAATTCTAAAATTCTAACATAAGATTAACAATTTCCCAGACTGCCAGGTAAAGAAGATGATAAGAAGGCAAAATATGTAGAAATTGGGGAAATAAGAAGCAAACAGAGTTGTAACAAAGAGAATTAAAATGAAAATAGTTAGGCAATAAGTAGATGAAGGATAATATGAATGCATAGTTTGTTTATCAATAGAATAATCTGTCCAACATAGGAAAAGATAAAATATTATGATTTGCTCAATGACATAGTCCTCTCCTAGAAGATGTAGGTTGTAAAGGACATTTAATTCGGCTTTAAACACTTCGATGTACAGAGTGTCAAAGAACGTGGCTTCTAATTTATTTATTTGTTTAATTTCTAAAACAAAGTAAATTTTATTGAATGAAATAGATACCATACTTTAATAGAAAGTAGATTTCTAGGCATATAACATGGCCTGAGTCCTGATTGTTTCTCTGAAATTGCATAATGTCTTTTCTGTAACCAACATGAGGGAGAATCTACAGTTCCATATCTTCACAGCCATCCATTTACAAAATCTTCCTGTAATGCATAAGATGACTACACAATCTCTTCATTGTCACTTTCATCTCTTGGTTCCTGAATGTGTAGATGACTGGATTCAGAAAAGGAGTGATAAATGCATCAAAAATAGCAAGATATTTATCCAGGTGTGATGTGGGAGAAGGCCATGTGTAGAAAAACATCAGTGGCCCAAAGAACAAAACCACCACAATGATGTGCTCTGACAAAGTGGAGAGGGCCTTGGATGAACCACCAGAAGAATGTTTCCAAACAGTGAACAAAATGAAGATGTAGGAAATGACCAGCAAAACAAAGGAGCCCACAGAAATGAGCCCACTATTGACAGTGACCACGAACTCCAGTTCTTGGGTGTTTGTGCAGGAAAGTCTGAGGAGCCGGGGAAGGTCACAGTAAAAACTGTCCAATACGTTAGGGCCACAAAAAGGCAAATCTACCACAAAAGCTAATTGAACCAATGAATGGATCAAGCCAATGATCCAGGAAGTGACACAAATGTATAGACACATTCTTGGGCTCATGATGGTCAGGTAGTGGAGAGGTTTACATATGGCCACATATCTGTCGAAGGCCATGCCTATGAGCAGCACCATCTCAGTGCCCCCAACAGCATGACTACAGAAGATCTGGGTAATACAGCCACAAAAAGAGATGGCTTTGTGCTTCTCGAAAATATCACAAATAATTTTAGGGTCTATGATGGAGCAAAATAACATATCAATGACTGAGAGGTTGGCCAGGAGGAAATACATGGGAGAGTGTAGATGAGCATCTAGGGTTACAGTGAACACAATGACAAGGTTTCCCATCATGCTTGCAAAGTAGAACAAGAAGGAGAAGACAAAAAGGAGAAGTTGCATCCCCCACGCATTGGTGAGTCCTAGGAATACAAACTGTGACACTATGGAGTGATTCCTTCCATCCATTGCCTCAGACACCAGAATCAGTTTTCATGTTACCTAAAGGGCAAAGAAAATGGATAAGAATTGCCTAAACAAGTATTAGTGTTCAAGAAAGAAATATAATTGCTTACATGAAAGCAATTATTATATTAACATCTCGCACAGCCAAATAATCTTTATCATATGCATATTTGACTTCTACTTAGAGGAGTCAGCTGGTTGCCATATGGCACAATCGTTTTCAAAACTACTACTACTAAATTAATTCTGCCTCCGGACCTATTTCCTTTCTGCTTTCTTTTACTATTACCTGGATATTTCCTATTTCCTCTCATCCAGTGTGTTCAGCTTCAATAACTTTTAAGGTTGTCTTCAAACAGTTTTGACTGTGATTTCTTATGAAAGGATATGATTTCGACCATTCATTTGAGCCACCTAACAAATTCCTCATGCACATCTTACAGCTTTCAAAGTCACTGTTCTGCTATTGCTCAATTAGACTTTAAATGTTTTCTTCCTTTCAATTTTCAAAATTTCTCTCATTCTATTCTCCAATTCAGAAAATCCAACTGTCAACATTCCAGCTCAAATGCTCCCTCTTTTGTGAAATCTTCCAATTCTCCATATTCCCTCTGCAATGTTACCATTTATTTCACTCTGCCTCTCATGATTATACAAATTTCCATCTCTTCAATTAAAATATAGCTTCTTCGGTTCAAGAACCACGTCCAGCTCATATGAGTAGCTCCCCCTCCATTACAATTACCAATAGTGAGTAACACAACTGGTTATTTAATGATCAGTTCACACCCGGTGAATGAAGAGATTAATGAGACTGAAGAATGACCCTGGAGTCAAGAGAGTATATCATAATTCAGTAAGGTTCATATTAATAGTATGTTTTATGTTGCCAATCAGGAGTTATCAGAGGATCCCAAGCCTCATTTCTGCAGTTTTTTAGCTACACAAAGTAAGATTTACAGAAGAAAATTCTGTTATCAAAATAAATATGGAGTATCAATTTTTAATTTAAAATAGTCAATAAAGGGCCTTTGATATGTTTCAAAATGGAAAAAAATCGTATGATTTTATAAATGATGCTAACTTTCCCCCCAAAAATCTCAGTTTCTAACATAAAATATGTGATGAGCTGAGACAAATAACGTGTTATATATATATGCTCATACATACATATATACACACATTCATTGGATCCCCAAAGATAAGAACTCTGCCACATAAAAGCAGTCTGTTTTCTTTTTAAAAATACCTTGAAATGGTTAAAAGAGTGACAGAAATAAAATACTGGGTGAACAGAGCCAGACAGAGCCTGTGTCTGTAATTGAGACATTGTGATGATTGAGTTATAAAGTTCAGAAAAAGAATGAAACGACAGTAGCCAGATGCCAGCATGGGGAGGTAAAGACAAAATTACAATTCTTCAAGGATAAAAACTTGCCAGAGATAAACCATCATAGGTCCACTGTTCAGTGGAGTGTTCCAGATTTAGTACAACATCCGTGCTTTACCAGTGAAATAATTTACGTAAAAAGAGATATAGGAAGTGACCTGCTCAGTATCACAAAGCTATTGGTGGGAGAGTTCACACCAGGAACAAGAACTCTTGATTGAAATTTCTTTGCATTAAATAGCCTTTATACTAGTTTCTCATTTCTTCTGTAACAAATTGTGGAAATTTGGTGGCTTAAAAAAACACAAATGTTTCATCTCACAGTTCTGGAGATGAGAAGGCCAAAACGTGTCTTCTAATCTAACATTAAAGCATCAGCAGAGCTGCATTTCTTCTGCATGATCTAGGAGAGAATCCATTTCCTTGCCTTTTCCAAGGTTCCCTGAATCCTTTTGTTCATGATCCCTTCCTCTGTCTTCAAAGTACATCATTCCAAATGCTCCATCTGTCATCACATCTCTCTGACTCTGGCACTCCCTCCTTCCTCTTTTAAAGTCACTAGTGATTACACTGGGTTCACTCAGATAATCCGGGCTAATTTTCCCATCTCAAAATTCTAATCACATCTGCAAGGTCCCTTTTGCCATGTGAGGTAACATATTCACAGGTCCAGAGAACATGAACATCCTTGTGGGCCATTATTCTGTATACCACAACTTTCTTAGAAGTGAACATATATTTTAGGAAAAAAAGGAAAATCTTACATCTAAGCAATAAATCTGACGGAAGGCATTTCAGATAACCTGTTAGGAAGAGGGAAGACATAGTGTAGGAGGAAGGATGGACAGTGCATCCTGATTTTTCCCTGAAATTACATGTAAGTGACTTTTGACTTCAACTACAATTGAGGAACAAATCTGAACAACTAATACCAACTGATGACAGGGAACCCATGATAATCACCCACCCAATATGTTCTTGGACAAGTAGGTACACAGTTGACTCCAGAGTGGTTTTCTGAATGGTTTTTATTCCTTAATTCAATAAATATTTTTGAGTGCCCAGAATGCCAGACCACATTTCAGGCATTGAGGGTACAGCATTCACAAGAATTCCTGCCTTTGTGGAGTCCATATTGATGACAGAAAACGCAATTTGGACTATTACATACAGATTTTCCTTAACTCTAGAAAAGATAAGAACAGTTGAAGAAATTCTGTAGTTCTCAAATACCTAGGGAGTGCCAGGCACTCTGCTTTGCTTCTAGCTCAGTTTCCACATTCAGGAAGTCTCTTCTCAGTATTGTGACTTCTTCCTTTATCTGAAGTTTTACATCTATAATTCCTATCACAATGATTTTTCAGTGGCTTTTTAATAAATATGTATGGATTTTTTTCTCTTCTCAAATGTAAGACACTTGGGGCAGGCTTCATGTATCATAATTCTTTGTGCTGACTGAAAAGCAGCTCAAAAATGATGTTTTGAGTATTTCTTGGCTTATTCACTTTTTCATTCAACTAATATATACGCAGCCTCTATAAAGCGCCTCGTACTCTGCTAAGCCTTAGAGATAATACAAAGACGAAAAAATAATTGATATCAATGATGTGGAATAAAGTAATGAAATAAGAAATCAAAAATATATAAACTAGGACTCTAGGGTTATCAGAACAATTTTAAGTATGAGTTGTATAGATCATTTTATGACTTATAACCAAACATCCATGTCGTGAACTAAGAAATAATTAACCAAAATTTCTGTATGAATAAGCAGAAAAATAAGGCAAAAAGAATTCCTTCTGATCACTAAGGGAAAAAAAATACTTATAGCCAAAAGTTTTTTAAGGCTTCCATATAGTGGGAACAACAATGAGAAAAAACAATGAAGTGAAAATATAAGCGGTGCTTTCTCCAAATTGAAATCTGAATAGCAAAAAATAGCAAATGAGAATTGCAAAACAAACCGTGATAAATTTGATAATGAATTTACAAGAAATACAGTTGGCAAAATCAGGAGGAGATTTATTGAGTCACTCAGAAAAAAATATACATGAGATTTTGTGTAAAGTTTACATAAATACAGAGTCTAGCCAGAGGGCAAGAAGAACATTTAAAAAAAAAAAGAAGTTAAATACAGGGGCCAGCCCTGGTGGCCTATTGGTTAAGTTCAGCATGCTCTGCTTCGGCAGCCCAGGTTTGGTTCCCAGGAGCAGACCTACACTGCTCTGTTAGCAGCTGTACTTTGCTGGCAGCCCATATACTAAAAAAAATAGAGGAAGACTGGCATGGCTGTTAGCTCAGGGTGACTCTTTCTCAGCAAAGAAAAAAAATAAGTTAAATACACTTTTAAAATCAGAAAGAAAATTGATAGATAGATGAGAAAAATGAAGACAAAGCAATACTGGATTATTGAATGCAGCAAGAGACCACGACAGTCAATTAGATGGAAAATTATGCAAAAGGAGAAGAAATAACAGCCTGGAAGCTTGTTCAGATGTGCAGTCTTAAAAGCCACAGTGCCCAAAATTATTTTCTACTAGCACCCAGCATTAGCGTTGCCTTTTTTAGGCTAACATACTGCACTCTCTAGTTTTATTTCCATTGCTAAGGGAAGGGTGCTCCATTAGCTATTACAGACAGGCAAATAAGTGACCAGATGGCTTTTCTTAGCTGAGATCTTATGCTTGTAAGAAATTAAAATTTTGACAATGAAGAAATAAGTGATACATTTTAAACCTAATTCATTACCCAAGAAGGATTAGTTTGGATAAGTTGCTGCAGAAGACAGGTAAAGAGCAGATGAGCTCAGCAGGAGAGGGGCAGATACCAGGTATGAGAGCTAAAGCTGAGAAAAGAAGAAATGTGGTCAAAGACAAATGTACTTTAAAATCCATTCAAGAGCAAAGAAGACAAAATAACACAAATAGCAAATATCAGCAGATCTGGAATCTTACCCAACTTCTGTTTTGTCTTCGTATTTCTTGATTATCCATCTAGGGCTCTGAGTTATATTCTCTGAACGGCTTCTAGAGAGAGATGCTAGGTTCTGGGTGCTTTGGCACTTTGAGGCATCCCATACCCTCCATGGAAAGAGTGCTGCTCTCCTAAGACCATTGCCATTGGAAGATATTCTACTTTGAGTTCTATGTTCTAGTCTTGCTATTACCCTCAATAATTATAATGACATGAATTATAGCCATCTTTCATTTAGACTACTTAAACGATTGATATGTACCAAATCCAGATTCTGCAGTATTTGACAGAATCATCATTTAAATGTCTTGATCAATATGGAATTAGAATTGAACAACCTCTTACAGGAGATTCATGGTAATTTTACATCTTAAAATTTTGAAAACAAAAAGAAAGAGATGCTCATTGTCTCTAATTAACAAAATTAGGCTAGAAGAGATCTAAAAATACGTTCTGACCCAGTTCCTTTCTTTTGTTTCTCCATCCAGGACATGTCAGTTCGTCCTCAGTCTACAAAGTTTGAAAATTCATTTTCTTCCTTGGTTTCTTGCTTTTTTTTTAACATGATAGTCCAAACGTTCTTCTTTTCAAAAAGAAAATCTCTCATCCTCTCAATTAAGCCAATATCCACTTAATTCTTTCTCTTTGAATATAAAGA